GGAGAAGTCATTATTGATGAAATGAGAGAATAAAGTTAGTGATCACAAATAAAATTAAATATTTTCAGTGACTAAACGTGAATTTTTTGTATTAATGACAGTGATCAATCTTGTAATTTACCCTAAAAACTAAAAAATTGTAGTAAACCAAACCTGGTTCAACCTGTACTGGCCATGAAACCGGCATGACACTAGCGGCATGAATGTTAATGGTTTTCATATTCTTACATATACAAAATATATAAAGGCAAAACATGAGTTGTATGCTTTATATATGATCAAATACATTGAATGTTAATGGTTTTCATAGTTTTACATCTACAAAATATATAAAAATATATAAAGGCAAAACATGAGTTGTATTTTCAGCATTTTGAATTTGTTGGTTGGAGAGTGATTTACGGAAAGTCAGTTTTGACAATTTGATCCCATTTAAATGATGATGTGCGTTTAATAAACACTAGACGAAGTGCGGCACCAGGAAAAAATTGGGCCTTTTCTCGGGACCAGGAAAAATTGGGCCTTTTCTTTTCTCTTCTTACCCGCTTCATCTTTTGTGGAAACCACTGTCACAAATCACAATTATTTTCTCCTCTCTTCCTCCCTCTCACTTTATCTCCAGCATGTATCTAACTCCAATCCTCTTGCCGATAATTCTTTGTTCTCGCAGTCTCTGATCGACTTTCTATCGCCGCCATGCAATGATGTTAGCGAGTCTCCGTCTGTCGTCGCTGCTGAATGTTTCTTTCTTCTTTTTGTAGAATGCTGAGATTTCAATGGTAGAGTTTGGATTTTTTATTTCCTCTTTTCTTTCTCTTTCTCAAAGTTGAATGACTAGGAAGTATTTGGATGTTGATGTTAAATGTTATATTTAAATATAAGTATTTATTCTTTTGTTTGAAATGTTGTATTTTAAATATGAATATAAATGTTTGGTAAGTGTCTTCGAATATGTTTTGCATATGCTTAAATATATTTGATATTAATGATTTTTTATATTTTCAAATATATTTTATTAAATCGACTTGAGCCGATTGTACCGTTGGTAGAATCATACCACTTGATAAATTAGTTTAAACCGGTTTCACACTGGTTAGTATTGACTATTGAGTGGGTGTGTATATGAGTCTTTGACTCTTTTTTTAATTTCCTTTTATATATATTCTTATATTTTTTTTATCATTTATCATATTTAATCAATTAATATATAAAACTATGAGATTCCTTATTGGATACAGCGACTTGAGTTTTTTATATGTTATAGCAGGGATTTTTTATGTCATATTACGTAGTATTTACATAACTTATATTTCAATAGCATAATATTATAGAGTGATTTTACATAGATCTTAAGTAATATATACAGTATTTTTACGTAATAAATATTAACGACAAGTTACATAAGATGCAAAGCATTACGAAAGTCTTATGTATCAATGAGATAAAAGCATCTTTAGATTGATGTTATATAATATCTGGTGAAGCATGCTAGATGTTTAAATTTGATGTCTACCCACAATATCCATCAATATTGCGTATGTCTTAATATATTTCGAGCCAAAATGTTGTTGTCTCGAAGCAATACTCCCTTCAAGGGTTGCTTCAGTCTAAACGTGCTAAAATCTCTGTGTAGTTGGTATGGATGAAAATGAATCGGTTATCTTCAGAAGCCAAGAAGCATACTTTTTGCTACAAAACAAATTATGTGTGGCACATGTGGAACTCCAAATTATGCATTGGTCGGTTATACTAGTGTCATACTTCACCTAAATATGAAAGTTTCTACCCGCATTTGCTACGACTCATTGTTCGTGATTTATGCAATTTTGAGGATTTCAGGAGAGTGAATGGAGTTTTGTATAAATCTTTCAAGGAGGAATGTTATGCCCATGACTCATATTGAATTTTATGAGAGACAATTCATTTACTTTCATCTTTAAGGTTGATTATGGATGTATTATGAGAAGCACCTCTAATATTCGACTCAATGAATAATCATACACTTATTTCGTAGATAACATTTCTCATCTTCCTACCACATTATGCATAGATAAATATTTCATGCATTTTAGAGTAACTATCATATCCATTATTATATATAATATATTTCGGGTCTAAGCTCTCCTAATTATTAGATAATAAATAGCGCCTGTTTGGTTTAAGGGGTTCAGTAGGCTGCGGGCGAGTTTACCGTACGTTTCCTACAGCCCACATGCACGGATCACCGTTAATTCATTTAAACTTTAGATCTCAACTGTCGATTCTGTTTTCCCCTTCTGTCTCCCCTTGGTCGCCCGCCTGGCGGCTGTCCAAGTTTGCGCAATCGAAAGGAGCAGAGGAATTGGATCCGAGGAAAGGGATTTCGAGAGATGGGCGTAGAAGATAACCGACTCTGCTTTGCCGGAACGGTGGATGGATGGATCCGGATGTAAGTGAAAAGGTGTAGCAAGTATCGTTCATTCCATTTCCCTTTTCATAATACCCTTTCGCCTCCCTGCCTGAAAATCCTCTAGGCGTTGATTCTTCACGCATGTGAGCATGTCTGATACCGCCATAGAGAGAGATATGATACCGAAGCAATCAGCGAAGGATGGAAGTTGAATCCGACTTCAGAGAGATGAGATGTCGCTGGGAATTGCTTGGGCATTGCTGTGTTTTAGTGCCAACTACGTACATATCACTTCTGAAATTACAGGGGCAGGGATCGAAGGATTGTGGAGACTGGAGAGGAAGATGCCATGTCTCACGAAAGCTCGCCGGCTCCTCGGTGTTCCCAAGTATGAGTATTTTGTCACTGGGGGAGTTCAATTCCTTTCAACTAGACGCCCTCCACACTCCCTGCATCGATCTCTTAAACAAGATTGATCTTAAACAAGATTGATAAATGGTGCATGTTACTATTATCCCCGGCCTTCTAAACAAAATTGATTAAATTATTCTCCAGTTATAGATTTCATGTGCACCATTCTTTCGCATGACTGACACATATTTATGTGCAAACATGCCACCTGTTCACCTTTATTGACATCCATATTTCCTTCACCGAATCATCAAGACACACCACCTTAGGAATGAGAATGGAGCACCTCGGAACGAGTATCTTGGTATATATATATATATATAGTTGGAATCATAGATTATCACATATTTACAATTTTATTATGGTTAAAATATGAGATAACAAAATTAAATTGCTAAGTATTTTAAGCAAAATTACATGTAATTTAGGGGAAATGAATCAAGAATGGAATGAGTCGGAATAAGTCAAATCGAGAAGAGTACTCATGCCCATATCGCTTATGAAACGCGTATTAATTGTCCTAAACAACTCAAACAAGTTGAGTAAAAATGATCATGTTGATATTGTCATCCCCAACTCATATTATGTAAGTATTTTCAATGTTCTTTTTTGTTAATTAGTTAGGTTTTTATTTTCACTAAACGTTGAGGTTTTGTCATTTAATTTGTTAAAATCACATTAGCTAGCATATTCCTTATAAGTTTCACTCATTTCAATTATTCCGTCAAGTCATGCTTGGTATATTTCAGGTGTTGTATTTATATCTTATATGTAGATAGCATTTATATGTTATAAGGTTGTTATTTCAATTAATAATGAGATTGATAATTTTGATAGGAATTATTGGAATATAAATAAGATCAGTTTGCTTAAGTGGTTTGGTTGGAATTTGGTAACAATCGGGTGTATGATAGAATTTCGTGCATCCATTTATTCCCTAATTCCTCTTCTCCCAAATTCATTTTCTGTTCTACCCATGATGTTCGCACTGGAAGCACGAAAAAATATTTATTTCTCACTTAACAATTAAATTGGAGTATTTTGTAAGCTTCCATAATCATTTGACACTTTACGACGTAATATGATAATACGTAAAACACCATAAATTATGTAAACCTTACATAATGCATTTTACATATGAAGGCATTAACTATAGATTATGGAATGAAGTAATTATGTAATAATTAAATCAGATGTGTTACATAAGTCTTTTTTACTGATATTAACAACATTCATAATGTAATATTGATATTAAGTAAGTAAAAATGTTGTACATTACAAAATTTACTTTGTGCCATTTCACAATTATTAAGTAAGATATAGATAGATTTTGGAAAGGTTACGGAACAATAATCACAACTGTTCTCTCTCGCATTTGTGGCTAACTTAATACGTGCTGCCCTTTTCCCAAGTCATCTTATTATTATTATTCCAATTTTGATAATTCATAAATTGATACTCAGTTGATCTTTCTTTTTCTGTTTATAGTTTTAGTTATCCTCCTTAGTTTGGTTTACTTCAAAGCACATTCAACGTTATAATTAAGTGTTTTTGGCGGAATTTGTCATTATTAAGTGTTTTAGTTATCCTCCTTAGTTTGGTTTACTTCAAAGCACATTCAACGTTATAATTAAGTGTTTTTGGCGGAATTTGTCATTATTTTATCAGTTTACTGTAACTCATGGAAAAACTCTATGTGAATTTTCAGTTACTCTATTTGAATATACACTATCTCAAAATACTTACTTTTCAACCCCAAGGGTTGTCCCAGTATTATGATTTGAAAACAATATTTATTGTGTAAAATAACAATATCCATCGCATTTATGCTAAAGTTTCTTTTTTGTTTGTCAAAAAATTATTTCCTTGCCTTCTTATAAAATTGGAGAATACCATATTATCATGTATTCAACTATTCAATTGAAAATCATGTTGTATAATCATAAATACAGATATTAACTCCAAAATCGTACTCTACACGTAGGCTAAAATGATCAAGAAGTTGATTATGTCCTAAATACATCTGCTTCAAGTTAATACATGATTTCTCTTTGGCTACTAAAGACATTCACCTTGATTTCAAATTATTATATTTCAATGCTAATTGATCGATTTATTTTTGAGAATCCGCCGCGGAGCGCGGGCCAATTTTCTAGTATTTTATAAAACCAATATAAATTTCGCGCACACGATTATACCACCTATTATATCATTCCACCTATCAAACCGGCGCAACCGCAACAATATAAACCGGTTTGAAAACGTTGGTAGACTTCCATCTCCATATTTCATTTCCGTGTTCCGGCGCTAAAATTTCAAAGAGATGAATTGTCGTTTCGCTCCTGAACTGGAATCGTTTCCCCGAGATTTTGCCATTCGGATTTCGTCGGAGGGGGGGGGGGGGGGGGGGGGGGGGGGGGGGGAGAGAGAGAGAGAGAGAGAGTCGAGCTAAGGGTTTTCGGTTCGCAGGCCGAGAGGGGAAAGCAGGGAGCAAGGCCGCGGCGTCCTCCAGCTCTGTTGCGAAGAAGCAGCGAAATTGATCTGGAAGAGGAGAGAGAGAAAGAAATAAGAAAAATCGAAATCTCTGATACCGCCATCATCGCTTGTTATAGCTGGCATTCTGTTCCCTCTTCGCCGTCGATAGAGAAAGGAAGGCAGCGAATTGGGAAGAGGTCGGAGACAACGAAGGGCCAATCGTTACTTCATTTCCCCCCTGCGGCAGCGACCAGCGAGGCTGGTTTCAATTGCTCATTTCTCCGTCAATTCCATCGTCGTCGAGTTTTCCTGCTTACTGAAAGAACAGTAGCGAAAGCCATTAGTCAAAGGAGGGGGCGGGTAGACGGCAATTGAGATATCGGAGATCAGATCGCGGTGGTTAAGTTTGGAACTTGGTAGTTGGGTCAGTGCAGCCCGCTGTACTCCGACATGCTGCTTTCCTATCATCGATCGTCGTCCTTCTTCCTTCATTGTGGGATAATTTGTGTGAGTTTTTCATGATAAGCCCTCGGATTGGTCCGCTTTGATTATCTCTACTCTTAGTGTAGGATTGAAGGCTCTCTTTGTATTCGGTATCTAATCCATTGTGCTTGGGGAACCTTTTTTCAGATCTAGATTTCGTTATATGCTATGGATACGAGTCCTTCCCGTACCTCTCTCGATCCAGTGGTTGTTTGAATCTAGACGAGTTTAAGCAGCTTGTTCATTAAGTGCTGCTGTCGCTCCAGAATGACTATGGGTCATCTCGCAGAAACTGGTTCACTTCAGAATGAAGTCAGCAGTGCCCTTCACAAGCCTACAAAGGGTACTTTCGCCTGCATGATTAATTCTGAAATAGGTGCAATTTTGGCTGTGATGAGGAGGAATGTGAGGTGGGGTGTTCAGTATATGGCAGATGATGATCAGCTGGAGCATAATCTTATACATTCCTTGAAAGAATTAAGGAAACAGGTCTTTACATGGCAGCAAGAATGGCATCAAATCGACCCGGCTATATACCTCAGTCCGTTTTTGAATGTAATTAGATCTATGGAAACTGGTGCACCAATCACGGGAGTTGCTTTGTCTTCTGTGTATAAGATACTGACACTTGATGTACTTTCTGTGAACACGGTGAATGTGGGAGAGGCTATGCGACTGATTGTTGATGCTGTTACAAGCTGTAAATTTGAGGTTACTGATCCTGCCTCCGAAGAAGTAGTGTTAATGAAGATTCTTCAGGTCCTGTTAGCCTGCATGAAAAGTAAAGCCTCATCTAAGTTGAGCAATCAACGTGTGATTAATATAATAAATACTTGCTTCCGCGTGGTACATGAAGCTAGCTCTAAAGGAGAATTGTTGCAGAGGATATCTCGTCACACAATGCATGAATTGGTTAGATGTATTTTCTCACGCCTACCCTCTCTCAAGATTGAAAAGCTAGACAATGGAAGCTCAAGTGTTGGAACAGAGGTAATCCTTTACCAAATGCCTTCTTCTGTATATATATATATAGTGGCTACTTCGGTGCACTCACTTTTTTGGGTGCATTCAATGCACCCACCTCTAAAAGTGGTCATAATACATCAAATTTTGAAATTTAATGGGTAGCATTAGTCTCATATGATGATATAACACAGAATCACAACTAATCAACCCACTACCCTAACCTATTAACATTCAATTTTGAATTTAAACCCAAAATCCCAATTTGTAAACCCTAACCCTGACCCTAAATTCCTAAACCCTGAATCATTCAAATTAAAGTGAATCTTGAATGATTTTTGTACAAATTCATGTGGTTCTTGTTCATCATACTACAATGGATGATTGACATCGTTTTCACATGAATCGTCTGCTCAGAATGACGATTATGAGGCGGGTGCATTGAATGCACCCAAAAAAGTGAGTGCACCGAAGACATAACCATATATATATATTCTCAATTTATGAAGGCCTTTGAATTTTAACGCTATGTTCATTGCTCAACACTTCATGTCAACTACCAGTTAAACTAAGGAGATGATAAAAAGTGTCAGTCTGTAAGTCTGTTACATAGCTGTGAGCGATATTGAAATTGTGAATGTTGAGTTGAGATCTTGGATTGACACAACCGGATGTCCTCATGGAGATGCCTTTGTTCATAGTGCTTATGTCAATTCTCAGGCATCGGGTGCTATATTGACCTCAAGTTAACTGGCTTAGTAGGACTATTAAGTTTTATGATTGAAATATCCATATTTTTATATCTTTTTAATCAAAAAGCAAATCTGTTGGATAAATAAAATCTGAGCTTCTTTGAAAGTACTTTCTGCTGGTAGTTCGGATTGAGAAACACTTGTGAGAAATCTACTTTTAATGTTGAACGGTGATAAAATATTTTGTGCATGGCCCTTATCTCATTGTCTGGCCCTATCCCCATACAGGTCTATTCTACCTTGTTAACTTTATAGGAAGTCCTTTCTGTGTAGGAACTCGAGGAGTGTAGTTTTGGAGGTGCACAAGCAGAAAATGGTCCTATGAGGGGTGGAAATGACGGCCCTACTTCAACAAGTGATTCGTCAAGTGATCTCACAAGTGGATTAAGACATGCGAAGGATTTGAATGATTTTGTTATTACTAGTGAGGTGGAAGCTCAAAGTAACACTGAGAAAGATATGGCAGAGCCATTTGGAGCTGGCTGCATGGTTGATATATTTCAGTTCCTATGCTCTCTTTTGAATGTTGTCGAGCACATAGAAATTGGTCCTAGATCAAATCCCGTTGCATATGATGAAGATGTTCCGTTGTTTGCTTTGGGTTTGATCAACTCGGCTATTGAACTGGGGGGTCCCTCATTCAGAGAACACCCTGAATTGATATCCTCGATTCAAGACGATTTGTTTTGCAATTTGACGCAGTATGGTTTGTCGATGAGCCCGCTGATTCTTTCGACAGTATGTAGCATTGTTCTCAATCTTTATCATCATTTACGTGCGGAGCTGAAGGTACAGTTGGAAGCATTCTTTTCATGTGTACTTTTGCGAGTTGCTCAGGGCAAGCACGGGTCCTCATATCAATTACAGGAAGTTGCAATGGAGGCTCTGGTTGATCTGTGCAGGCAACCAACATTCATGACTGAAATGTATGCTAATTTTGATTGTGACATAGCATGCAGCAACGTTTTTGAAGACATAGCTAACCTGCTGTCCAAGAGCTCTTTTCCAGTAAATGGTCCATTGTCTGCTATGCATGTTGTTGCATTAGATGGCATGACATCAATGATTCAGGGTATAGCTGATAGGTTGGGCAGCGATATGTCTGTTTCCGAAGTGGCTGCTACAGAAGATGACAAAAGATTCAAGGCATTTTGGACAATAAAATGTGAGAATTTCGCTGATCCTAATGTTTGGATTCCCTTTGTTCAGAAGATGAGAAACATTAAGCAAAGACTGATGGTTGGAGCCAATCAATTTAATCAGAATCCGAAGAAAGGATTAGATTTTCTTCAACAAACATATCTTTTACCTGATAAACTTGACCCCCAAAGCGTGGCATCTCTCTTTAGGTATACTTCTTGTTTGGATAAGACACTTATTGGAGATTTTCTAGGAAATCATGATGAATTTTGTATTCATGTGCTTCATGAGTTTGCTAGAACCTTTGATTTTGAAGGGATGAATCTAGATACAGCATTGCGCCTCTTCCTGGGAACTTTCCGGTTGCCTGGGGAATCACAAAAAATACAGAGGGTGCTGGAAGCATTTGCTGAGAGATACTATGAACAGTCCCCTGACATATTAGCCAACAAGGATGCTGCTCTATTGCTCTCTTATTCACTTATCATGTTGAATACTGATCAACACAATGTGCAGGTTAAGAAAAAAATGACAAAAGAAGACTTTGTTCGCAATAATCGCCATATTAATGATGGAAAAGACCTTCCCAGGGAGTACCTTCTAGAGCTTTACGGCTCAATATGTGAGAATGAAATTCAGTTGATTCCTGAGCAAGTTGCTGGTTTTCCTCTGATGACAGCTGGGTGCTGGGTTAATGTAGTCCACAAATCTAAAATTGTCAACCCTTTTATCGTTTGTGATTCTGGAACCCTCCTTGACCATGATATGTTTGCCATTTTGTCTCGCCCAACAGTTGCTGCTCTCTCTGTAGTTTTTGATCAGTCAGACCAAGAAGAGGTTTTGCAGATGTGTATCAATGGATTCCTGGCTATTGCTAAAATTTCTGCTCATTATCATCTACTTGAACTGCTGGATGATCTCATCGTGTCCCTCTGCAAGTTTACTGGCCTGTTAACACCATTATTCCTGGCAGATGAAGCTATTCTGGCCTTGGCAGAAGACACCAAATCAAGGATGGCGATCACTACAATTTTCACTGTGGCCAACAGATATGGTGATTACATACGCATGGGGTGGAAAATAATTTTTGAGTGTGTGCTAATCCTTCACCAACTTGACCTTCTACCAGCTGGACTTGCTAGTGATACAGCTGATGATTTAGAGCCATCTTCTGACTTGCAGCGGGTCAAATCTGCACCAAGTTCTTTGTCATCGCTCCGCCCATCATCTGGAATCATACCTCGGAAATCATCGGGTTTCATGGGCCGTTTCACCCAGCTGTTATCTTTTGATATAGAGGAGCCCAAGTCTTTGCCAACCGAGGAGCAGCTTAGAGCTCATCGTCTCACTCGTGAAGCAATACAAAGTTGTCACATTGATATGATATTTGTAGAGAGCAAATTTCTCCAAGCAGAGTCTTTGCTCCATCTCGTGCAGTCAATTATCCTGGTAGCCAGTCGTCTCTCTAGGGAAGCCAGCTTCTCCATGGAAGATGAAGTGGGTCCTGTGTTCTGTTTGGACCTTTTAATTGCAATTGCACTGAACAACAGAGACAGAATCATGCTTATCTGGCAAGTTGTATATGAACATATTGCAGCTATTGTTCAGTCAACCATAATGCCATGTACCCTTGTAGAGAAAGCTGTGTTTGGGCTGCTAAGGATATGCCAGCGGCTGTTACCCTACAAGGAAAACCTGACTGATGAGCTGCTGAAGTCTCTGCAGTTGATATTAAAACTTGATGCTCGAGTTGCCGATACTTATTGTGAGAACATAACAAACGAGGTTAAGCGCATGGTGAAGTCGAGTGCAATCCATATCAGATCCCATCTTGGCTGGCGTACAATCATTTCCCTTCTATCTATTACCGCTAGACACCCTGAAGCATCCGAAGCAGGATTTGAGACGCTATCCTTTATAATGTCGGATGGTTCACACCTTTTGCCATGTAACTATATTCTCTGTGTTGATGCAGCAAGACAATTTGCCGAGTCCCGGCTGGGTGATGGTGCTCACAGGTCAATCTCTGCCCTAGATATGATGATGGGATCTGTTGTCTCTCTGCAAAGATGGTCTTCTGAAGCCAAGAATGCAGCAGTAGGGGAGGAAGCCGCTGTGAAGTTAAGAGAGGATATTGGTGAGATGTGGCTGAGAATGGTGCAAGCAATCAGGAAACTGTGTTTGGACCAAAGGGACGAAGTGAGGAACCGCGCCATTCTAATGTTGCAAGGGACAGTGGCAGGGGTAGACGGAATTAACCAATTCCCTATTGCCAAGTTGTTCCAGTTCTTTGATCTAGTGATCTTCACATTGCTCGATGAGTTACTGGAAATAGCATTGGAGAGCTCTCCTAAGGACTATAAGGAAATGGAGGTAACACTTGTGCTGGCCATGAAGGCCATGACAAAAGCATTTCTACAGCAGTTGCAAGATCTGTCGCAGCAGCCTTCCTTTTGTAGATTGTGGTTGGGTGTTCTAAATCGGATGGAGAGATATTTGAAGGCAAAGTTCAGAGGAAAGCGAAGTGAGAAGATTCATGAATTAGTACCAGAGCTTCTTAAGAACATCTTGTTGGTGATGAAGACGACTGGTGTTCTCTTGCCTAATAGTGATGATATTGCTGGGGATAGCTTTTGGCAGCTGACATGGTTGCATGTAAAGAATGTGTGCCCTTCACTACATTCAGAATTATATCCTGATGACGAAATGGAAGCAAATCAGAAAGTTTCCGAGGGGGTTCCAGCAGGAGATCATGCTGTCATTGTTCAATCAACTGCATCCCTAACATGAAGCCTAAACTCTTTTGGGAGTTCTGCTGCACAGGTTCAAACAGTCACTGCAATGTAGTAATTTGTTGATTTCAAAACCTTTGAAGTAATGTTCCTGAATCCTGAGGTTCCCCTTGATTGCTAGATGTTCATACCTGTGAAGAAATATAAAATGCCTGAAATTCATTCATGATAGTTTTTTTTTTTTTTTCTCTTCTTTCTTATAGAGGGTCTCAACCTGTCTAGTACCTTCAATTTTCCGGATTCCTTTTTCTCTCCTAACTTAGTATACTTGGCTCCTGTTTCTGTACTCTTTACTTTCTAGGAGCTTAATTTTTTCCTTAGATCATTATAAAAACACAAGAGGCTGTGAAGCTAGTCTTCTGTTTGTTGTCCGCTCATACTTTACATTCTGAGGTTTATACCAGATGCTTCGTTATTATTTACGGGGTGAAGTATACCAGCTAGAGGGTTCTCTGTTCATGATTTGCAAGCTAATAATGTGTACATAAATGATAAAACTAGATGAAAGAAATGCAGGGAATTGTGCATGGTTTCCGTTTTTCCTTGTTCATGGTGTAAATGAATTTTGCATCTGATTGTGTAAGGTTTGCAGTTTCGTGGCCCCGGATTAGTTTGTCCGAGAAAAGAAATCTGAGTCTGGAGTAGCAGTTTGTGTGAAGAAATAATACTCTTGGGCGGGATGCTTGCTTGTCGAAGGAATCAGAGGTTTGTTTGTTCCTCCGTTGTTTAAGCAGGAATTAGAGGTTTGTGTGTTTCTCCTCTTCTGTTGAGACTTTAAGCAGACGATCTGATACTGGAAATACTAATTAGAGTAACACAATGGCATGCTAATTGTATAGTTATTCTGGTGTTGCTGTCATAGATAGGGTGTAGCATTTAGGGATGTTGGGACTAGGATGGAAGAGGGGTTGTATCGGCGAAGGTACTAGCTAGGTTATGAAGTTGACCGGGGCTGGGAGGTTAGCAGTGTTGCTTTGCATCATACTTGGTTTGGTCAGCTATTCAGTTTATTTGGTGAAGAAGCCACAGAAAGCAGTCAATCGGTCTTTTCCTCTGCTGCCCGTAGGTGTCCTCTATACTATTTGGCTGTAAGAAGTTTTTTTGGAGGGGCTGGATATTTGAAAAGTGTAAGCAGCTGGGGTGCTCAAATGCTGTTTTACCAAGAGACAGTAGGTGCCTACTTTTATGTATTTCGATTCTCTCCACTCATCAAGACCAACAAAAGAGAGCCACCCCAAAGCCCATATCGTCGACAAATCGGGTTCCGTAGGGGCCGGAAAATGTTCTGTGAGACATCAAACATTTGTTTTGAAGATTGTGATGGTACGCAACGGAGGGTTGGGATCGTGTAATGATAAATATCATTGTTATAAGAACCGATCAACGGCCGGACTAATAAAATTGTCAAACAAGTTATGATAATGGTCCGGTTTATTGTTTGGACGGTTATTGATGAACCAAATTGTTTTCACAGTTCAACAAAAAATCAGATAAGACTAGATGGTTTAACTGGTTCACTTGTCCACTATTTTAACAAAAAAAATACTTTAATATAAACTAATATCAATATACCATAATTATTAATTTTCTATATGCTTCCTCTTCTCATTCCAACCTTGTTGTCGACTTTATGTCGTCCACTATTGACTGGCATCGTAATTTTTAATTTGAATTAAAAAATATGATATCTTTTGTGAGATGGTTTGAATGATTTATTAGATATTTTGGTGATATGAATTTGAAATTGTTTATGGTCAATGATAATTTCATTCTTAAATTAGTGTAGTATACACAGGCCTGGCCCAGACCCTGTGCTAGCCTGACCCACAACACAGGGCCTTAAGAATGTTGGGGCCTCAACCCTACCCAGCCCATACAATTATATATGTATATAAATAAAAAATTGGGAAAAGGAACTCGTCCTCCTCTTCCAGCGCCAGCGGCTTCTCAAGTCTCAACTGTCCTTCCCTTTCCCAAACTCATTCCGCAGACATCGCAATCAATTCCACAACTCCCCAAAACCTTCCAAAACAAATTAATGTACAACTAATTAACTCTTCAAACGTACCTCTGGAATGAAGCCTATGGGATCGTATGCAAAAGCAGTGACAGGGGAAAGCTACGGTACCAGGCCTCTGACAACACAATGGATCCCGGTGGGGGAGAAGGACCTGATTCCAGGGTCTTTCAACGGGGAACCAGAGCTTCAATTATCAGAAAATTTTAAGAATAAACTCAGTGCGCCATGTCAACGGACCCTTGTGGTTCGATTACTTGGCCGCTCAATTGGGTATGCTACTCTCTGCAACAAAATTCGTTTCCTCTGGCGTCCGACGGCGGGGTTTGAAGTTTTTGCTTTGGATCAGGAATGTTTCCTGGTGAAGCTGGAGAATGATTCAGACTATTTTAAAGCCCTCACTGAGGGACCATGGGTTATCTATGATCATTACCTCGTTGTGCAACAGTGGACTCCATCTTTTCGTGTGACGGATAAGCTTCCAAGCACCATGGTTGTTTGGGTTCAGTTCCCGGGCTTCCCTGTTCACTTCTACCACAAGGAGCTTCTGTTCACGCTGGGGAACATGATCGGAAAGGCAATCAAGCTTGAATTCCACACAGCCAACCAGCAAAGAGCAAAGTTTGCGCGGATGGCGGTGGAGGTAGATTTATCGAAACCTTTGGTTCCTCGAATTCGGCTTGATGGCAAGTGGCAAAAAGTTGAGTTCGAAAACCTTCCCGTCGTTTGTTTCGAGTGTGGCAAGATTGGGCATACTAAGCTGAACTGCTCGGCTCTCTCCCAAGCTCTCACCGTTTCTAGTTACTCCGGTACGATCTCGCCGCCGCCGGTCGCCGCTGCTGTGGACCCATCGGAAGACCCTGCTGGCTTCGGTCCTTGGATGCTGGTTTCAAGGAAATCCCGCCGCAATCCTCGCGATTCCCCTAAACAAGGCAAGAAGGAGGTTAACGTGGTAAGTAATAACGGAAATGAGAGGGTGATTTCAGGGAAAGAAGAAGCTGTTGCTAACGGGGAAATTTTGGGAGCGGCGCCTCAGCTCAACGGGAAGAACCAGGGGAAAATCCCTAATTCTCGCAGCGCTAAATCAGGCAAAGAACGAAAAGGGAAGGAAGCAGCGGTTTCGGTTGGAAGTGGGCTTCTGGGCCCTATACCCAGGCCCATTGGGATGGGGCAGGCCAAGCCCAACAGCAACAAAGGCAGCAACGAGGCTTCCTCCTCTAGGCAGGCCCCAAGTCCAGCTGATGGTGAGCGACCCAACGAGAAAGAACGGAGAAACGAATCGGGTATCGCCAGGAAAGGGAATGGAGTCAACATACACATTGTGGAAGTCAAACCTTACGAGCAGCCCCAACCTCGATCGATCGACCCATCGGCGCCGTCGGCGGTGTCGAGAACTAAACAGAAGAAAGAGAAGAAGAAAAATCAGGGGAGTAAGAGCTCGACACCTTTGAGAGTGACTCCTCTTCGCCACAATCCTAAGAAGACGCTGCAGAACTGGTCACCGGTCAAGGATAAAAGGAACAAATTCAAAGAGCGGCGGGTGGCCTTAACATTGCAGCAGATCAGTGAATGGACCGGCGAGTCTCTGTCTGAAGAAGGGAAGAAAAAGGATGCGGCGGCAGGAGAAGTTGCGACGGAATCGGCGGCGGTGGACATTGATATTGTGGACCGCCCGACTGAGGAAGCTCGGTGATCCCTTTCCTCTCTGTTTGCCTTGGCGTTTTCGTTCCTTTTTCTTTATGCTTTTATACTTCCTTTTAATGTCTATGTTTAATAGGTATAATTTCAAAATATTTTCGTGGAACGTTGGGGGCGCTGGAGGGACTTCCTTCTCGCGATCCTTGAAACTTGCGTTGCAGATGCACAGGCCGGATTTTGTCATTCTCTTAGAACCTCAAATTAGCGGAGAGGTGGCGAATGTGGTTTGTGAGAAGCTGGGTTTTCCTGATGTCCTGCGTATTGAAGCGCAGGGGCGGAGTGGAGGTATTTGGCTGTTTTGGAACTCTCAGAATTTTTCTGTGCAGATTGTCTCGGCAGGGCCTCAACACCTCTCTGTGAGAGTTTCGGAAGGCAACAAGGATCCGTGGATGCTCACAGTTGTGTATGCGTCTCCCCGGCATCATCTGCAACGTTTTCTCTGGAATGATATCATCGAGCAAAGCAAGCGGGTGGACTGCCCTTGGATTCTCACCGGTGATTTCAACACGATTCTGCATCCGGATGAGAAAACGGGGCCTCCTTCACTAGCAACTTTCCGTAGATGTAAACATTTTGGGGAGTTTCTGAACGAAGCGGAGCTTGTGGACCTTGGTTTTTCTGGCCCTCGCTTTACTTGGTGCAGGGGGAAGGAGAGCGCAACTTATAAAGCAAGAAGAATCGACAGAAGCATTTGCAACCTGGAGTGGAATGAGAGCTTCCCAAATACGTCGGTGACCCACTTGGCCCGTCTGAGCTCTGATCACCATCCGGTCCTCACAACGGTGTCTAATCAGGGAGGCTCTAACCTTTCCACGAGGCGTTTCAAATTTGAAGCGGCGTGGTTGACCCATGAGGGCTTTCTCCCCTTTCTTGCTGATTCTTGGAACTCACAAAATGTTTTGCCTATGGCTTTGCAGGACCTCTCCAAGAAGCTCCAGCTTTGGAATACTTCGACCTTTGGAAATGTGTTCCAAAGAAAGAGGAGGTTGGTTGCCAGGATCGAAGGGATTGAGCGACGACTGGCGAGCTCTTTCTCCCCAAGCCTCCTCAAACTGCACACTAAGTTGGAGAAGGAGCTGGATAAGACGATGGAGCAGGAGGAGCTTATATGGTTCCAGAGGGCCAGGGAGCATTGGGTGAAGTTCGGGGAACGGAACTCAGCTTATTTCCACCAGCTGGCCAACATTAGACGTCGAAGGAATATGATTGACTGTCTTAAGGATACCAATGGGGAATGGGTCAGCGAGAAGGATGAGTTATTGCAACTTGTTTATAACTTTTTCTCTGAGCTCTATTTGCAGGATAACTCTCCCTATGTTAATCTCCTCTCCAAAGGAGACTTCCCGAGGCTGAATCAAGAAGACTGGCTCCATGTCCTCCGACCTTTCACCATCCTCGACATCCTCAAAGCGATCTTCGAGATGAAACCTCTTCAAGCTCCGGGGCCGGATGGTTACCAAGCTTTGTTTTATCAAAAAGCTTGGGCGGTGGTGGGGAAAGCGCTCACTGACATGGCTCTTTTCTTTTTTGAACAGGGAACGTTGCCTGAAGCGGTCACAGATTCCACGGTGGTCCTCATACCGAAAGTGGACAAACCTGAGTCGGTTACCCAGCTTCGCCCGATCTCTCTCAACAACGTATGCCTCAAAGCAATCACTAAGGCCCTGGCCTGTCAATTAAAGGAGGTTATGGGGAAACTGGTCTCTCCAAGACAAAGCAGCTTCATCCCAGGGCGTCAAACAACCGACAACATCCTCATTGTTCAGGAAGTGCTGCACTCTCTGAGGAAAAAGCGGGGAAAGAAGGGAGGCATGGTGTTGAAGGTGAATCTCGAGAAGGCTTATGACAGGCTTCGTTGGGATTTTTTGAGAGATACGTTGATTGAAGTAAGGCTGCCGAGTTCGTGGGTCCGGGGGATCATGTACTGTGTTGAGCACAATAAGATGCGGATTCTGTGGAATGGGGAGCTCACACCAGTCATCACTCCCACTCGGGGTGTCCGCCAGGGAGACCCTCTATCTCCTTATCTTTTTGTCCTATGCATGGAACGCCTTTCTTATAGAATTGACCAGGCCGTCCGGGGTAAGCAATGGAAGCCCATCCGCCTATCCCCGAGGGGTCCTGCCTTATCTCATCTTTTTTTTGCAGATGATCTGGTGCTCTTTGCAGAGGCGGAAGGAAACCAGATAGGAGTCATAAAGGATTGCTTGGATGAGTTCTGCGCCAGCTCAGGGCAACGGGTCAGCTATGCCAAGTCGGTTTTGTATGTGTCGCCGAACATCAGACAAGACAGAGCTCGTTGGCTAAGTGACAGGGTAGCCATCCCGCTGGTTACTAACCTCGGTAGGTATCTGGGCATTGAGGCTATCCACGGGCGAGTTACCAAGAGCTGGTACCAAGCCTTGATTCTGAAGATTCAAAAGAAGCTGGCACCTTGGAAAGCTAGGAGGCTCTCCCTTGCCGCGAGACTTACGGTCACTCGTTCTGTCTCTCTTGCTATTCCCACCTACTCTATGTAATCTGAGTTAATCCCTAAGAATGTCTGCAATGCTATAGATAAAATTAACAGGGATTTTATCTGGGGGAAGGAGGAGGACAAGGGGAAGATGCATTTGGTGTCATGGGAGAAGATGACAGAACCTAGGGTGCAGGGGGGAG